CCAGCTCAGCCACCACCCAGGCCCAGATCCCGGGCTTTGAGTTAGCCCGCCCCATCATCTACCCCGTGTGTGAACCGCTGGAGCGGGGGAAGGGGCCAGCCCTGCTGTCCCAAAGCTGCAGAATCTCCCTGACACCGGGAACAACAGGATACCCAAGAGGAGTCCAGATGAGCATCCAGTATTGATGGTGGAGCGGAAGCCGGAGGCCTCAAACCTGATCAATGGTTCTCTGAGGTCAGGATCTGCAAGGAAAACTGGGCAAAAGGGTGTACCGACATGCCGAGGCACACTGCAGCTTCCACCGCGAGATGGGTTTGGTTGTTTTGTTTTCCTATTTTTATGTTTTGTTTTCTTTCTCGGGGGCGGTTGCAAGGGCAGAGGACAGATATGGAGGGCTGGGGAGACGAGGGACTGGGGTGCACAATGTGAAATTCACAGAGAATCAGTGAAGAGCTACGTGATGATCATAAGGCAGGAGGGCACGGGGTGGCTTAGCAGGTAAGGGACCCTCACCACGAGGCCTGGCAACTTGTGCTCAGTCCTGGAACCTACACGTTAGAAGACAGCCAACTCCCCTGCTGCGTAACACAAATAAGTAAGTTAAGAAATACAGAGGGGACCAACTGAGGAAAGCGACTGACACCGAACTCAGCTCCACACGCATGCACACACACAGTGCACACACACATGCAAACACGCATGCACACACGTGACTGAGAAACCGAGCAGCTTCGGTCATTCATTTCCTGGACATGGAGGCCCAGTCCAGGTCACTGGTCGTCTCTGCTGTTGGGGTTTGTGTGTGTTCATGCTTTGGTTAGAGTGGGTCATGGTGGCACTGTGCCCACAGCCCCCTCTGTAAGGGAAGACAAGCATGAGGATCAGCAGAGCCCATGGGTTCAAGCCCAGCCTGAGCAATATAGTTTTGGGTTGATTTCAAATTTTAAATGAACATATACAAAAACTGAGAAAACAGAATGCTGTGGAGCACAGTGGCACACACCTGTAATCCCAGCTCTCAGGAAGGCAGAGGCAGGGGGCTCTCTGTGAGTTCAAGGCCAACCTGGTCTACAGAGTCCAGGAATCCAGGAGAGCCCAGGCTACACAGAGAAACTCTGTCTTGGAAAACCAAAAACCGAAACAAAAGAAAAGAATGCACAAAGGAAGGTTGTGTGTCAAAGGTCTGTGTCAGTAAAGAGTTAAAGTATGAAAGAAAGAAAACTGCGGAGAAAGAGCATCTCGTCGCTACGGTTCGCTCCGGGGCTTCCCGAGCTAGGAGCTTGGTCTCGGAGTGGTGAGGCTGCCGAGGGAGGGCCCGCCTCGGAGCGCCTCTGATAACTCCTTGATCTTCCTGGGCCACGATCACTCACACTCACGGCTGCCGTCGTGAGGCCATCAGCCGTGAGCTTTCACCAGAGCTGGGCAGACCATGGTGCGACAGTGTCAGGCTTCTGGAGCTGGTAGTTAACTAAACCTCTTTACGAAGCGCTGGTCCTCAGATGATGTCACAACAGCGAAGTGAGCAGAGACACCATGAATCAGAGACCAAGAGAATGAATGGCGAGCGTGTACATCTCACACACGTAGGAGACGCTGATTCTCTCATCCCGGAGCCTGTCACGGCTTCGCTCACACACGTAGGAGACGCTGATTCTCTCATCCCGGAGCCTGTCACGGCTTCGCTCTCCCGTTACTGTCACCCTCCTCTGCTATCTGTGGGACCTACAGATATAAGTGTGCACCGCCTGGTGCCCATGGAGGCCAGGAGAGGGTGCCGGGTACCCTGGACTGCAGTTAAAGGTTGTGAGCCACCACGTGGGTGCTGGGGATTGAACCTGGGTCCTCTGCAAAAGCAACAAGGGCTCTTAAAGGTGAAGACAGCTCTCCAGGCCCCGACACTGCAATAGGACAGGCCTGACTGCATGGATGTCCATGGCTGGTGACGGACCATTCAGGCTGTAAGATGCAACGCACAGACTGTACCACCTGCCAAAACTAACACAAAGGCCTGCTCCATCGAAGCCCGCGGTCCTGGGAGCCTCGAAAGTGCTGACCTTGCTCTCTGGCTCCTGGAGCTCCAGTTCTGGCTAACTGTTCTTGTTAACCGAAGTATGTCAACCCAGAACACGGGTTTTGTGTTCAAATGCCCATCCTGAGGGCCTGGAGAGATGGCTCAGAGGTTAAGAGCACTGGCTGCTCGTGCAGAGGTCCTGAGTTCAATTCCCAGTACCCACATGGTGGCTCGCAACCATCTATAGTGAGATCCGGTGCCCTCTTCTGGCATGCAGGTGTACATGCAGGCAGGGCACTGTACACATAATAAGTAAATCAATCATAAATTAAAAAAATTCACCCTGAGAAAGGCCCAGTGCTACAGTGGGCTCTCAAACACCCAGTGCTGTCACCAGCTGGCTTATAAAGACTTTCTGTTGGCTTAAACCCATGGTCTTCTCTGGCAGAGAACATAGCTTTTCAATGATACATTATAAACCATCCCACGATCACTGGGGGCTCTCTAGACATGTGTGTGTGTGTGTGTGTGTGTGTGTGTGTGTGTGTGTGTGTGTACGCAGGTGTCCATAAAGACCGATGGAGGGCATAGGAGCCCATGGGGCTGGATGAACAGCTGTGAGCCACCCAGCACGCTTGCAGGAACTGGAAAGCCGCCAGGCCTGTTGTAGGGTTTCTGATGGAAGCATCTGGGGCTTTGACGAGGTAAAGAAGTGCACTAACCCATGGTGGGTGTGTAACAACGTAACACTGTGTCCATTTAGCAGAATAACTGGACCAGGATTTTTTTTAGATAGGATGTGTACCCCTGCATGATTTAGAACTCAGTGTTCTAAAGTTCAGGTTGGCCTCGAACTCACAGAGATGACCCTGCACTGCCTCTGAGTGCTGGGGTTAAACGTTCCTCAGCCTCTCTCCAGCTTTATCTGAAAACAGAGCTCTCAGCCATTTCCTTCTACAAGAAGACTCTTATTTCCAAACCAACTCCACCCAAGTCAGCAATCTGATACCAAACGCTTTTACCACGTTAGTTCAGCTCAGCAATTCCTGTACTAGCTGCTGCACCAAGCCACGGAAAGTGATATGCTTATTTTTCACAAACACGCGGTGCGCTTTCATAAGTCCGATCTCCGACACACCTGTGGTGGCACCTGGACCTCGCTTCCCCGAGCTCTGTTATTCTAAATCTCACCCGTCTACTTTCTCTTGCCCTGATGCTTCTGGTGCCAACTTCTACCAATCATACAATGGTTGTTCGTGCAACTACTGCATTTCCACACTGGATTTTGAATTCTCTTGAAACAAAACCCCAGGGCTGCAGAGATGATGCTCAGTTTTCAACAGCACTTGCTGCTCTAACAGAGGACCAAAGTTCAGCGCCCAGCACTGACATTAGGTGGCTCGCCACTTGCTTTAACTCTAGTTCCAGGAGATCTGACACCGATTCTGGCCTCCAGCAGCGGCTGCCTGCACAGTGGCGCGGACACATATATTTACACACCCACACACATTTATTAAATATTTTAAAGAAGCAAAATGAAGGGAGGGTGAGACCAGGAGGAGAGGAGGATGTGGACTACACTTGGGATGTAAAGTGAACAACTAAATAAAGTTAAAAGTTGAAAACAAAATAACGTTGAAAATCTTTGAAAAGACGTAAAATAAAATGGCACCTTCTATGAGCTGTTTCTGTAAGCGGCTTACACGCACTGTCTCGCAGACTCTAATTTGACCAACTCCTTAGGCGGCGACTCTGCCCACATTAACGTTATGCAAAGTGCAGTTCGGAGATCAGGCTGGTGTCGCAGAAGCAGCACCGTCCCCGAAGTCAGGTCTACGTCGCTGTAACCAGTACAGTGTCCACCGCTGGCCTGGGATTCAATCTGTGCCTATCTTATCAGGATGCCAAACAAAAACAGAAACGGAAACCGGCGTGGGGTGTAGATCAGGCTTCTAAGAAGGCGGGGGGCTGTGATGACGGGGCGGCCAGACGCCAGGGGGGCTTGAGGCTTCTAAAGCGAGCGGAGCGTCTACACAGCACCGCGTCTACGCTCTCCAGTGGTTACTGCAGTGAGCGCACTCTGCAGCTGTCTCTCTGGGTTTATGGTTCGGGCCCCGGAGGCTCACGCCTTCTTTTCTGTTCCCACGGCGTTTAGCGAATTGCTCAACACGCGAAGTGCGTAGTTGTTGATTTTAACGGACGTGTGTTTGCATGTATGCCCAGCTCCCGGGCGGAGGACGTGGGTGTGGGACGCGGGTGCATTCCTCTTCCTCATTCCTTTCCCCTCCAGCAGCTGCAGCCCGCGGGCTTTCCGCCCGGGCGGGGAGACGCAGAGCCGCTGACCCCTTAACAAGTTGTCCCTCGCCGAACAGGTGTCTCCCCCGCCTCTCGGAGGAGAGCGGAGGCCGGCCGCTGAGCGGCAGCGGCCGCCGGCCAATCAGAAGTCGGGCTCGGGCAGCCTGGCCAATGGCCGCCAGGGGCGGGCCCTGTCCGCGGGCAGCCTGGCCAATGGCCGCCCGGGGGCGGGCCCGTCTCCGGGGGGCCGGGCGGGCGGGGCCGGTCTGCGGCCGCGGGGGAGGCTCG